TACCGTATAAGTTCAGGGGGACTTCTATTAGCTCTTGCAAGATTAAGATATGAGAAAATGGACCTAATTAGATGAATTTTTATTTAATATGTTAATAAGTCCGTACTAGTGCAATAAATTTAATTGCCAGAAACAATTAAAAAAATTATTTTTACTCATTTTATTCTGTTTTCAAGACGTATAAGATGAGCTGTATTGTAAGCCATATGTGTATATTATTTCATTATGATAAAAAATCTAAATTTATGAATTGATGACAGCTGAATATTTTTAAGTATCTAACTAAGCGAAGCGAAACAATGGTAATGTGTTTGGGTCATTCGCTAATATCTTTATAACGCTGTTTTTGAGTGAACGGCTGGAACAATTTTTAAGTTTGATAGCTCTATTTACTGAGTAAATAATAATAACGGCAACAATGCACAGACCAATAAAATAAACATAATCAAAATAAGGTAACATAAGAAATGAAAAATGTTAATCTTAGAATAAAGTATAAAACAGAGAAAAGAAAAGAAATAGAAATGAATAAAAATTTATTGAAATAAAAATTCTTTCACTAATGCCTAACACTAGCAATAAGATTTGTTTGTTTACAAATGGTTTAAGCCAAGTTTTGAAGATTGCGATAATATGATAAAAGTTTTAGATGAAATATTGCAGGAATCGTCATAGTGGGCAGGGAGAGATTGAGAGTCAACATGACAGGTGATTAGTGTATTAGACATGAGCAGAATTGGGAAGAAAACAGTCAGAGCTTGGTAGAGAAACTGTAAAACAAATAGAAAATACAAAAAAGCGTTTACAATTAAGGAAAATGACAGAAAATAAAGTGTAACCAGAAACCAAAAATTAAAAACGTGTGGTCAATGATATATAAATTAATGTGTGAATGTGAAAAGATATCTCTATGCGTAGAAATGAAAATATTCCTCTGTAGAAAATTGAGTTCAAAATTATTTTAATGAGGATGAGAAGTAGACGAATTCTATGTAGTCAGGCAAATATATGGAGGTCTGAGGCCTGTTCAATCAGAATAACTTTATGCCCATCCTCCTTCCAATATAGCACCTTTCCGGTGGCAATCCATGTATGTTTGATTTTCCCCACAGCTCTCTTTTGTCGAGCAAGCTAATATAAGTGCCTGTTCGTGGGAGTCATTTCTTCATTCAGATATATCAGGTGGCAGTCATCCTCCTGCCAACCCGATATCTCTAGTTGAGAGGTCCCTCTTGGTTTTCCTTTTTGCTATTAAGTCATCTCTGACTGACTGACAAAGTGCGGGATGACAGACAGCAGTCGTGGGTCATCTTTTCTTCTTCTGCACTTTGTCCAGGTCATCTGCAGTAAGCCTGATGCCCTAAACTTGCTCCAATGTTGGTCACCAGCGTGGTGGATGTTTCGCCCACTCGTTCCGGTATCTGGATAATAGGCCCTGTTCTGCATTGTTGAGGCGGACATCCAGTATATATATGTGTGTGTATATGTATATATGTATATATTGTAATGTAAATATTATGTAGTGATTTTGAATAGTGGCACGAATGTAGTGACGTCACGAACTACTGTCAAAAATGGACAAAGAATGACAGATGGTGGGGAAGAAGAGCCAGATGAGGGCAAAAGGTAGCCAGCCAGCTAATGAAGAGGATTGAGAAAAGAAAATGTGAGTTAACAAATAGTGAGTATCAACAAAGGAAGATTAGAATATTGAAAAAAGTTGAACACAACAATACAGAGGAAGATTCACTGCGGAACAGGGTGAGTGAAATATAAATAGACAGTTCGAAAGCGAGCCAAGATTAAACCCCGACAAATGAATGGAAATTCATAAATGTTATGTATAATTAACGTGTGCTTTTATATTGTATAATTGAGGATGTTTGTTTGTTGTCTCAACTCAACTTGAGAATTAATTATTGATTAAAATAAATATTATTTGATTCAGAAACTGTTTTGTATATTATTCAAAGGAAATGTAACATTACAACATATATTGTAACATCTCTCTTATATTTTACAAATAATAATAATATAACCTCAGAAGCTCACTTCTTACCATTGGGATACTTCCTAAATAAATAAGAGGTTTTTTAATAATAAACTAAATTATAAGAGTATTAATATATTTATTTATCTCAGGTGTGGGTTACTGACAATAAGATCAAAACAATCAGACAAACTAAAATTAACTATACTAAACACTGTTTGATTTTAAAATATAGTCAAATATGGATTGGCAAGCTAACCTATTTTCTATATACTCTGTTTCTTGCTTTGTTGCACTAAAGTCATTTGTCTTCTAGCATTTTCCTATATTCTGCCAAACACACAGAATGGTGGCACTTTCCTCTATTCAACTTAACCCTGGGAGATCCTCTCTCTTGTAATTCCAAACAACTAGTCTCTCTTCCAAACAACAATTTCAAAGATGGTAATACTATTAATGGATTTTACCCACTAGAGTCAGGATTCCTTTTCCTATCCTCTCTTCACTGCAGCCACACTGCAACTGCTTGCCAAAACAAATACCTTTGTCCCTCTCTTCTTTGGGATTTTCCTTCTTGGGAAACTACAGAGCAACCATTTTCTTTTCCCTGCACTAGTAGATCTAGATTAGCTTGCCTTTTAATTGTTCAACATTATTCAACCCTTTTTACTCACTTACAATAAAGGTGTACATTACAATATGTGTGTATATAAGTTTATATCGCAAGGATTTGAAAGTCTGATATACGAAAATTTTGGATAACTTGAAAACTATTTTCAATTTCTAGAGCGCTCTAGTGGCCAAACGAAAAAAGACAATGAGCTGTTTCCATTTTTGTTTTTTAGAAAATTTTATCAGCTTTCTTTTTTATGCTAATGATTGTTCTCTAGGATGCGTCATTTCGGAGTTATGAGCGGAAAACTGAAAAAACTTCGGAAATTTTAAGTTTTTTATCCATTTTTATAGTGAATGAGGATTTTCAGACTCAGTACCATATAAATCCGTTTCAAAAGAACATATAAATCCGTCTAGAAAAATTCTTCAGCAATTTTTTTCTGAATCGACTACTTTTCATCTGTTTATAATGATTAGAGTTTCTTTATAGAGTAAAACATCGATAATAAAGAAGAGTTTATTGTGGAAATACATTACATACACGAAGACCCATATCTAGGGTGGGAGTATATTGTTATGATCACTGATGCCACATCTGACAGTGTTGCAGGTGGAATATACAAAACAGATAACCACATCAAATAATTAATTCTAACACCATCGCCAAATGACTGGAATAAATGTTGGTATTATAACTTACAGGATTCTTTCTAGTTTTATCATTGGCTGTCAGAATGATCTAGGATTTGGAATCATTTACTTTATGTTATTTATAACAGAAAAAAGTTTAAAGATTGAAATTTCTTTATCAAGTTGAAAAATGATAGAGCTATTTAAGAATAAAATCAAAGCAGGGTTTCTTCATTATTAAAGTTCTATTGCTCTCAAATTATTGTCTTGTGGAAGCTGTAATGATTTTTTTAAACCACTTTCTTCATTTCTGAGGTGATGTGTTATAGACAAAAAATGTATAACTTATTATTATCATTATTTAAGTTTGATTTTATTGTAGTCAGTCGAAAAACCAACTGAAAATAAAATAGCGTAATCCTGAAAAATGTTTTACCCATAGTTTTGAACTCGCCAATAGTAGGGAATATCTGATTAAAAAATTATAAAAACCAAAAATGTTAAGAAACAGTCTGTGTGATTTTATTTTTGACTCTATAATTGTCTGTTGTTCCAGCCTAGCTTGATAAGGTATTGCATGAGGACACAAAACAAAACTCCAGTGATGTACTGTAGATTCAATCTATTATTAATAGATTCTGTAATTAAATTTAATGAATGAATTTAAAATTTGGCTTCCCCCCTTCCATATTAGAGGGGAGAATCATGAAAATTTATTTAAGACAAGGGAAGGTCAGGTAATCAGACTGACAGAATCTTGTAAACACTCTGAATGCATTAGTGAAACATAATAAATTTTAATTAGAATTGACGAGTTTTCAAATCTGTTTACCTGAGGAGGAGTAAATAAATGAACTTCCTCATTTTTCATTACGTTATACTATCTATTGCCCCCAACCACACAACAATTAAGCATTTTACTTTTGTGGTTGAAAAAAAAAAAACAATTTAATATACAGTTAAAGTTGATTTAAACAATAAAATAATATGAATTATTATTAAATATTAAAATTATAATATATAATAATATGGTGAAGAAATATTGAAAAAATATATATGTTATTAACAAGAAGTTGAAGCGTGTGTCTTTTTAGTTTGGAGGACTAGTTTTACAGGTCCACCACTGATTGCGCCAGGGGGGTAGAGTGATTGCACTTCTTTCTTCTATTTATTTTAAGTGTACTATTGATGAAATACAAACCTAGCATCTGTGGCACTGTTTCCATAAATAATGGTTTGCCAGTACATTTTGAGACTGCAATTCAAAAAAAGGTGGCTATTTATTAGCAAAGAAATAAAATGTTTTTATTTTGACAAATTTATATCAATAATTTTATTTAATATACATTGCATTAAAATTTAATTTTTTTAGTTGTGAGATAGACCAGCTCAGAACTATAAGAATATCATTTGGTCTTTTTTTTTTTTCCTCCATTCTCCACATCTCCCTCTTCCTCCCAGAATATTGTGTCTTCCTCTCCTCTGACGATGTCTTCCCCACAATCCTCCTTTCTTTCCTTTCCACTTCAAGTACTCTCATTTTGTTTAACCTGAATTAAACCTTATCCAAACAATCCTTACTCGTTATCCCTAGTTGTTTTATTTTATTTATTTTTTATTATGTGGTAATCAAAATGTTATAACAGCTGGTGTATTGACTTCTTATTCTCAATTACCCTTATATATTTAACAAGTCTATTAAAACCATTTTCTAAAAGGTTCTTTAAACCAATGACACATAAATTAAACTTTTTTTTTCTGACAGGAATGGGTACTCCTTTGAAACAGCATTGCTTCTCTCTGTCTTCCTGGGAATGTTTGGAGCAGACAGGTTCTATTTAGGTTACCCAGCCATAGGTTTACTGAAATTCTGTACCCTTGGATTCATGTTCTTGGGTCAACTAATTGATGTTATATTAATTGCTACTCAAGTTGTTGGGCCAGCTGATGGCTCTTCCTATGTCATACCATATTATGGTGTTGGCATAAGTATTGTTAAAAGTGATAACTTCACCTATCGGTTGCCACAAAGTGACTGGTGAAAAAATAAACATAAATCTAATTGAGAAGTTCTTAATTTATTTATTTTTATTCTGGCATTTTAAATATGGTATAGGTGCCGTCACTCGTGTAATAGAATCTTTTCAAATCGTTCCTGAATAGCAGAGTTAACAATTATTAAATGTTAAGTTACTTAGAATTAAATGGATAAAATTATCTCTTGAACTACTTGATATAACATACTGGCAAAGGCTACTATAGTTGGCAGTTTTCAAATACTATTGGTGAGCTACAGTAGATTGAAAAAGTGATCACAGTTATCAAGTTAATATTAATCTACCATCTTGTTATTGTAGTTACATGACTACAACTATTATTATCATCACTGGTCAATGATTCATATTTCAGTGAAAATTGCTCCATATTCATTGGAATTCATGTACACATGAACAAATAAGTTTGTATTTTGACAACTATCCTATAATTTAATATTTGACAATTTAACAAAAAAAATCAATTAAACATTCTTTGACTGGCTTAGCTTCATGAAAATATCCTCTTAGCATTTTTTCTATTTTAGTTTTTCCTGTTTTCTACATGATTATTATTAATAATTTTTTTAATTTTAAATTCATGTAAATCCAAGATTAAATAGTTTTTTAATGTCATGTTATATTCATTATTGTCAAATTAAAATTATCATTGAAGCATTATTTTTTATGCTTATTAAACTTCCTTAGTCATTGAACTACAACTACTAGTTGGTAGTTGCGGTAGCTACTACTTTTACTTTTTTCGCATTACTGCTGAAAAAAAAAGTAATTAGTGTAAAAAAAATAATCAAAATACCCCCAAGAGTGTGTTCACTTATAACATATGTTATATCATATATTTACCATATGAATACTTATTATTACGAAGGCTTGAAATGCTAAATTTTTTACTATGGCTGTTTTAATTACTGGTTTTACAGTATTAATGTAATATGTTATTGTAAGGGCTGTGAAAAGATTTTTTAGAACTATTTTATGCAGTATATTATTAATGTAAAAGTTTAAAAGTTATTTAGTAACAAAAATTCCTATGCTAGAATGTTAGCTTAAATTAAAATTGTCTATAACAATTTGTGCCTAGTAATATGATACATGGTTTTCGTTCTAAGAAAATAATAAACCTGTTGTAATTAGAACAAATATTTTTAAATTGTATGTACAGTATAATCTCAGTTATCCAAACTTCATTGTTTGAAAAACTTTAATAATACAAACTAAAAAAAAAATCTGAGGGAAGAAACGATAGTAAGAAGTTTTATTCAGAAAAATAAAAAAAGGATGCAGCGAACTAAAGACGAATTTATAACATAGGGCGCTCACTTATTCAGTTGAATTTTTTTATCTCAAACCATATTTTATAAAATAGAATGAAAATTTGCATTTATATATTGATTTTTAATTTTTTATTATATATAGTTTTCTCAAACACTTTTTGTAAATTGATTGCATAGGTAATCTGGGCAACTCTTTGCTCCAATTAGTTTGGATATCTAAGATCGCACTGTACCTTGATTGATCATCTCATTAGAATTAAGGTTTTTCCATTCAAAAAGTTTGATTGACTAGATAAAAGTTATTAGTCTGTCAGTAGAAAGTTTAGAATAAGGAATAATGTGGATGTGGTAACACCAAACATTCAAACTGTCATAAATAAGAATGACATTTTTGTGATTGATTAATGCTAGGAGTTTCTTTTTCTCTCTTTAAAGCTGCTGAATGTATTTATAAACATTAACCATCAAATTTTACTTTAACAACTTCTGATGAATTTTACCACAACCATCCAACTTTTATTCAATAATATTCTTTTTCATGAATGTTCATTTTTCTTTTAGATGTGATTGATTCTTAAGGATCAACTGTCTTTAGTGGATAATATTGCAGTATGTTAATAATTTTCCTTTATTTTTCTATCTTGTCCAAAAAAGACTAAATTACCCATTTCATCACATTACCCATGTGAGCAAACTTGTGATGATTAATTTGTAATCTTAAATATTCCCTTCACTAATATTGCCCCATACTCACCTAACTTGCTGTTTTTCCTCAATTATTGCAGGCAGTGGCAAATAGTTTATAGTGATGTGTTCTTCCTTTCTGCTATATCTTCTTGTTGATTGACTAGAGTTTTACTCTAAACCACGTTTAAAAGTTTTTTATCAAGATTAGAAAAACTTCCTGACCTCTGTTGATTAAATGAGAAAATCCATTTGTATCGGTGACTGATAGTAAATAGATATTAACTACAGAAGCTTGGGTAGATGGTAAAGAAGTATGTATTTATGTGAGTCCACCTAATACTTTTGTTAAGAAATGACATTAAACATGGTTTCTGGTTTATCTTGGCAGTTCCAGTAATGGAAAGAGTACAATACCTAGTACTAACCTTTGATAGAAGAATAATAAGATCAACATAACAAGAAAAACAAATCTCATAACTGCTTACTTATGCTTCTAAACACTGTACAAATGGCATATTTGTATCTGTTTTGCTCTTAGGAATGATTTTCCAACTGCACAGATCCTCTTGTTGGGATCAATCTTTTGGCTTATCATTACATTATTTGTTTAAGCTTCATTTACTAATAAGCAAATTTGCTATGCTTCTCTTATCAGAATCTTAGTTTTTCTCTCAGTGCCTTCTTCATTATTTCCAAGGACTGCTATTTGATCTGCATATGCTAGAATATTATGATTCTGACATTTACTCCTCCATTTTCACATAATGATCTTATCACTTTCTCCAGGGCCAAGTGGAACAGTACCAGTGAGAGTCCATTTCCCTGACTCAAACCAGTTCTTACTTCCAAGGTTTCGGATATTTATCTGATCAAGACACCGCATGTCAGATCATTGGTACATGTTTATATCGATCCCACCAATATCTTGGGAACTCTCAGTTAAGTCATGATCGTCTAAAGACAGTTTTTGGGCATGGGAATGTAGTGTGCTTGGAAATGAAAGAAGAAGAAAAGTAAATTTTATCCTGGGACATTTAGTCTCTTAAAAATAATAATAATGAACAAAAGCTATTTGTCTCGTGTAAAATGACAGAAAATAATTCATTTATGGAGTGATGTAACTTTATAATGAAAATAAAGGATAAGCATAAGTAAACAAATAAAATTATAGATAAATAAATATCAGTATGTTTACATATTTGCACTGATAAGCAACATAAATAACTGTGGAATAATAGTAAAATGAGGCTGGCAACACTTATACACGAAAATTTAATTCTTACATGTATTCGGAAGATTGAATACAATACAAGAAAATGGATAAATAAAAGAAGTTAATGATGAGATTTGGTTTATGAAGTTCGGGAAGGAATTCCAAAATAAGTAGCATACATTATAAAGAACTTTTTAAAGGAAGTAGTTCTATTTGAAGGAATATGCATGTTATGGCTGAGATCTCATGTTTAGGGAATGGTCAGAGGAACAAGGAATAATCAAATAAAAAAATTAAGAAGGTTTTTTGGTTGTAAAGGTTTGGAAAAGGAATACACCTAGGAAATATTGCGGTCAGAAAACTGTACAGAGCCACTTCAACTCGTAATATCAACGTGGGAGCAGCTGGAGACTCCAAAGAAGAATCTAATGAAACAATTCATTAATCTCTTCAATCTGACAAGGAATAATCAAATAAAAAAATTAAGTAAGTTTTTTGGTTGTAAAGGTTTGGAAAAGGAATACACCTTGGAAATATTGAGGACAGAAAACTGGAGAGAGCCACTTCAACTCGTAATATCAACGTGGGAGCAGCTGGAGACTCCAAAGAAGAATCTAATGAAACATTTCATTAATCTCTTCAATCTGATAAGGAATAATCAAATAAAAAGATTAAGTAAGTTTTTTGGTTGTAAAGGTTTGGAAAAGGAATACACTTCGGAAATATTGAGGTCAGAAAACTGGACAGAGCCACTTCAACTCGTAATATCAACGTGGGAGCAGCTGGAGACTCCAAAGAAGAATCTAATGAAACAATTCATTAATCTCTTCAATCTGACCTCAGGCCAATCAGACTGTTCATTGTATACAAGGCAGCCATAATCAAAGTGGGGGAAAATGAGAGAGGAAACTGGAAGCTGGCGGGTTTCAAGGGGCATAGAATCATGGAATCTCAGGAAATGTGAGGGTAGCAATAAATTTTCATATAATTTGAAAAATATGATTATTCCAGAATGGATATTGATAAAAAATTACCCCAGAACTGAAGTGTTGAAGCGAATAGGTTGCCCATTAAGATAGAATAGGGATTAACAAGAAATTGAATTCATAAGATGCTAGAAACCAATGAGAATGGCTTTGTTCTTCTCAATGTTCAACCTTAAATCATTGCTTGCTCTCCATACGCTAATACTATCTATATCTTCTTGTAGCCTTCGGATCGCCTCAAGCATCTCTGTAGGATGAAAGGAAAAGAGGTGTAATTGGGAATGATGACTGTTTGGGATCTGTGATACAAGAAGGAGTGGAACCACTTTAGGACACTACTTGACATGGAGAGGTTTTGAAGTTTGGAAAGGATAATTTTGTGATTAACTGAAACAAAGACTTTTAAAAAATCAAGGAGAACCAAGATAGAGATTATCTTATTGTCTATTGACAATTAAAGGTCTCAGGTAATTTTAAACGAAGCAGATTGTGTGGAGTACTGGGATTGGAAACAAGACTGGAGAAGATTGAGGAGTTCCTTTTGCTCAAGAAAGGTATTAAGCTGGAAATAAAATAGTCTTTCTAATGGTTTTGAAAGATTCGAGAGAATGAAGATAGGTCTGAAGTTGGAGAGAACTGGGACATTGGTGTATTTGTGTATATATACATATACGCACATACATACATAAAAACAAACATATATACTCCACTAATACTGAAATTTGAAACCAGAGTGGAGGAGATTAAGGAGTGCCTTTTGCTGAAGAAAGTTATCAAGCTGGAAATAAAAGTCTTCCCAGTGATTTTGAAAGGTTGGAGAGAATGGAGATAGGTCTGAAGTTGGAAACTTACATATATACACACATACACACACACATATATATATATATATATATATATATATACATAAACACACACATACATATATATATATATATATATATATATATATATATATATATAATATATATATATATATATATATACACAAACATACATATACATATACATACATAAAAACAAACATGTATACTCTGTTAACCAGGGACTGGGGGGGGATGATTTTTATATCAATGGTAAAGGAAGTTTAGCATAGGAGATGTTAATTAAAGAGACCTTTTTTTCTAATACAACTGCCATAAGAAAAAAGCTCAAAAGTCCTTTCAAAATATGGATCCTTGGGGAAGAAAGACATTTTAGAGAAAGTCAGGGTTGATCTATAAACCTTGTTCAAAGAGGAGGCAATTTATATACAGTAAATTTAAAAAAAATATGTTTAGTCCTATTAGTAATTTTATATTGGTTTAGCGGGAGTGGGGTAGCTCAGTGGTAGGGCACTGATCTTCCATTGCTCAAGGTACTGGGTTCGAATTCTGGCTCATTGCAGAAAAATTATTAATTTTTTTCATCAGCCGTAGGGCGACCCTGGGATCAGGAGACCCTCCTGGGGCACACCCAGCATTTATAAAGTGGGTACCCTTAATTTAATATTTAATTAAGGGGGAAAACCTGACAGTTGAACATAATCTGAGTCAAATCACCTCCTTGCACAACCGTTGACTAAGAAACACTACTTTCTCTAAATAGTATCGAACTCAAGACCCTTCATAAATGCTAGTGGTACAGATTTTATTTTTTATTTTTATATTGGTTTAGCTTATCAGAAGAAAAGCTAAAACACAAAGAAAAGATTCTATTCATACTCTTTTCTATTTATTCCTTTAAAACTAATCATCTCTTTTGGATGAACCCTAAATTCATCTTTTTTAATGCCTTATAATAGGATGAGAATGGAACAGTATATGATTTTCAATGTTGGAAACACTAACACTAAAAATTACACTGGGTGAGAAGCAAATAAAAAATTGTTTTAGTATACATATATGACTGTCCTTTATTGCTGAACTGAAGAAAAGTAGTGTTTCTTTATCTGTGATACTAATAAATATTGTTCACTATATTGTTATCTTTTTAAAAAAACAAAGGTGATAAGAAAATGAATTGTACATAATTTAAATATAATTTTCCTGTAAATTGGTTTAATGTACTTGAAAATAAGAATAAAATTTTAATATAACAAGATTGATGAACAAATGTTTTTATAATGTTTATATTTAATAGATTAGAGATTATTTATTTGTGAAAAGTTATTAATTTTTTCTAGTTATGAAGAGAAGAGATAGTACAGAGAAAAAACCAAAATTTGTTCATTCATGAAACTTGATTCATAACTGTAGGCAGAATATTTTTAAAGTAGTTTGCTCAATTTTTATTTATGTTTTGTTTCTGAATCAAACAAGACTATCCCCATTACAATTAACACCACTCTAAAGTTAGCACTTTATGACTAGTTCGAGTGTGTTAATGAAGAAAAACTTGTGAAAATAACATAGTTTATTACCATTTTTAGTTATCTCAGCCAATTTTTTAAATATAATAAATCTACATGGCCAACATATTTTGGTTTTTGTTGTGTACATTACATATCTTGAAACCAATTACAAAGTGAAAAATTCATTTATAATTGATTTTGACAGTTAAGATGGCTTGGACAGGACAAAGAGATGTAAACAAATGTTTAGGTATAAGAGTTATGATTATCAATTTATTATTAAGGAAACCACACCACTGTGAGTTCATTGTAATGTTTTCACTTTTACTTGAGTCTAAACATAAAATATTTACAATTTTTTATTACTTCATTAGTATATATTATATTTTTTTAAACTATTTTATTTTAAAATAATGTTTATGTATTTGAACTTTTGTAAATATTTAATAAATAAAAAGATTTATATTACTGTCTGCTTTTTATTTTTTCAACATTCTGAAAACATTTCTACGTATATTTACCATAGAGAAATAATAAAATTAACATTGCGAAAATTTTTAATTCATAAAATATTTTTTAATACCTACTCAAACAGACCTGGGCACAAAATATTTCAAAATACTACACATTTCAATTCTGTACAGAAAAAAAATATTTCAAATGTTAATGACTTCTAGTATTAACTTCTTTTAACTACTATCCCCATCATCTTAAATGTCGAAAACAAGTGCAGTTGCATTCTTTACTTTTTGATCAGTTCCAAGATATTTTATATACATGTCAGGAATCAATATAATTTGGATCTATAGATTCATTCCATTTAATAACATGTATTCTAACTCCTGCTAAATTTATCTTTTCTTCATACCACAGATTATGAATTACTACATGAATATAATAAATGCATGAGATTTCATATTTAAAATAAGATGAAAAATCTTTATTTTAGCTCATCATCAATTAGTTTCTATACATTAGTAACTATGTAGGTTCAATTATTAATTTATTCTTATATTACATTATTAAAAAAATAGTGTGTTTTACCTAATAATATTGACTCCATTGTTATGGGTGTGGTTATATTCGATTTAGAAATAAAAATACTATAATAATTGATAACCTACTCTACTTGCTTTGGACAAATTATTTTTCCAATATCCTGCAAATGACACTCCCCCTCCCCCAAAAATTTGGGCAGACTCTTTGTATCTTAATTCTTACTACTAAGGCAAAGTTATAACCCAAGTTTCATAAATGTATTAAGTGGGATGTCTGAGCTAGCTAACACAGGTGAAAATCATGTCTTGTCCTGGCAACCTGATAAACTGAAAATAACATGATAAAATATTTACGAGTTCACTTCCTGGTACCAGGGGGGCTGATACCTCTGGCGTTAATCCTTTGCCCTCTCCCTGAAATGGAGAGGACATAAATATATATACTAATTTTGTTGTTTAATAGAGTTTATTTTCCCTGTACTTTATTATATTCCTGAACTGTATTATATTTCATGTGTACAGATAAAAACAGCCTTGTTTTGATTATATACATATTTATTTTAGGAAGCGGGGTAGCTCAGTGGGTGAGCACTGACTTCCAGGGCTCAAGGTCCTAGGTTCGAATCCGGCTAATGACATTAACCGTGGATCGACCCTGGGATCAGGGAGACCCTCTTTGGGCACACCCAGCCCCTATAAAGTGGGCACTCTTAATTTTAAAAATAATTAAGGGAGAAAACCTGGCGGTTGAGCATAATATCGTCTCCATCACCTCCCTCCACAAACGTTGGCCTTGTAACTGTACTTCCTCACATAGTACTGCACCCAACACTCTTCATGGGTTGTAGTGGTACAGGTTTGACACATTTATTTTATTATTATTTACATATTACACTATCCTAAATTCATGTGAAATTTTTAATTGTATTCTGCACCTGACACTTATTTTTAAATTTGACACCATACTGTGCCGTGTTAATGTAATTATATAAAAAGGGGTGATTAAAAAATATTGTATGACTTGGACACTTTAGTGAATTGTCAGTCAATCCTTACGTACTTATGTTATTAAAGACCTATCCTCTTAGCATTAACAACCTTTTTAATAATGTATTTGAAACTATCTGATGTTTACTTTCTGAAGAACTATCAAACTTAATTTTTTTAATTGAATATGAGGGGGTAGCGAATCTATAAATTAATTTATAATACAGGATTTACTGTCCCTTAAGTAGAATGAAGAAAATGTTCTTATGAAAAATAAATTAAACAAAATATATCTAAGAAGAAGTTTGGGGATGATGTTAATTGGTTGCTGTCTCTGGGCAGAACAATTAATATTTTTTCAAAGCTTTAATGAGTTATTAATGCTTTCCAAAACATGATAAATACGCTTTATTCAATATAGAAAAGCTTAATTAAAATCTGTGCTAAAATTTGGACTGCTGAGGAGGTGTGTGGAAGTGAAAAGTGGGTGGTAAGAAATAGTTCACTAAATAGAGGATTATAAAAAGGAAAGCACATCAAGTTTGGAAAGCATATCTTTGAGACAAAATCTTTCCATGCTTAACTGAATAATCCAGATTTAGGAATGAGCCCCAAAAAGTATCCTTTTAGCAAAAATGAAAACATGGTAGGAGTTCGGAAACAGTCTGGATAAAAATCATGTTTCTACAAGCAAATTCAGGAATATACCTAATCCTGTCATAAATATTGTTACAAGAAAATATTTACAGATTTCTACAAAAATAAAATATTTTTTTAAAAAACATTATTAGAAAATAAAATGTAAATCTATAGAGAGTAAAAAAAAAAAGAAATTACTCAAAATGTCCCCCTTTTGCCTTGACAAGACATTTAATCTCCGTGGCCAGTCACCAATAGCAGCACGCAGCGCTTCTTGAGAAAAGTGCTCAAATGCTCGAACCAGAGATTTTTTTAGGCTTTCCAAGTTAGGATGTGCTCTGTGGTATCCATCCTCTTCAGTTCGGACCAAAACCGATAATATAGTGGATTGAGATACTTCCTGAGGGCGAATCCGAGGCAGAGATGAACTCTGGAATGTTATTTTACAGCCACTGCTGAATTGACCTGGCCTTTTGAGCTGCAGCGGAATCCTGCTGGAAAACCAAATGACTTCATATCATTTAGAAGCTTGACAACGGTCTCTAAAATATCGTCCTGATAGTTTTTAGCGGCTGTTTGAATTCCTTTTTCACAAAAATGGAGCTTTGTGGTGCCATCAAAGCAAATTCCCCACCAAACCATCACTGAAGAAGGGTGATGACCTCTTCATCTGTTCTTTCAATTACTTTAGAGCTGTGTGCGTACACACGATTAAATGACTATTAAATTTTTCTTCAATTGTGAAAATTTTCTCATCGCTTAACAAAATCTTTCGATGAAGACCATTGGTGTAACGGTCCAGGAGTACTTTTTATCTATCCACTCTATTTTTTTTATTTTTTTTGGAAGTGTTAGCCTTTGTCCTGTCATACTTCAAAATGCACCCATCCTGAGGTCACTTTTTACTATGCGAGACGTTGATGTGGCAGAGATTCCCATTT